ACGCAGCAATACGTGAAGCTCAAAATTTGTGATTTCGTAATCAGACATCTTAAAAAATCAATAAATTTTCATAATAGCGACAAAACCAGATCAAAAAACACAAAAAAAAATATATAAAAAATCACTATTTTAACACGGCGCACGGACTTTTTCCTCAACCTAATACCTTAAATGATAAGAAATATTGTAAAAAGATACTTTTAAGTCTCTAAAACTGGCAAATGGTGACTTCAGCGAATTTCGTCATTGTTTTGTTGTGCAGGTAGTGCTGTGATTGACGAGGATGTTGTAGTTTTACGTGATTTCTCATGAGTTGCGGCTGCTGCAGAGCTGCCATCCAGTTCAGCTTCGGTAGCCGCCTCGGATTCGCATGCCCACAGCGGACTTGATGTTATATCGACATCACAATCGCATGTGCCCAGTTTGTGAATGTCCATCACAACGTTGCATCCTTGTAACTAGAGCTCTATAGATTACCACGTATGCTTTGCAATACATAATATTTCTTCTCTATAATCGCTTCTATAATATCCAAAAACAAATGATGTAGAATATAAATCTCTTCTTGAAAAGGTTCTTTGATATTGAGATTGAAAACAATGATTAGGTTTTGAGCATAATCTATCTATTAACAAATGAATAATTATGTTAATTTAACATATTCATCGCTGAGTGATAATGGGTACCAAGTACAAAATATTTTTTTCACACAGCACGTCCATTAATCTACATTTTGACAACAACTACTATTCATTTGTTGATTGTTCCAGAGTATCTGAATTTTCTTACATGAATAAGTACGAAAGTGAAAATTTAAACACGAGGAATCTATATAACTGAAATTACAGATTCACAAAAAGTTCTTCTAATTATTTTCTGTCATCAGCGAGATAATTCAACAAAGCGTTAAGAGTACCGTTCGATTGAGTTCAAATTTATAGTAGAGATAGACCAGGTAATTTCGCAGTTCGACAGAAACACTTTTCGACAGCGCGTTTCGACACTGGAATGTTGAGCGAAAAATTGTCGACAGATTTTTCGCTCGAAATTCGACAGTGTTGAAAGCCTGTCGAATCTCCATCAATAGTCTTCGGGGCTTAGTGACTGGACAT